CAATTGATAAATAGCACTGATATTTGACACTAATATGTGAATCTGATTTCAAAGCCGAATACCATTTTTTTAAAGAAATTTTTGCTAGTGACAATTTTTGTTTTGTGACATCTTAACATATTTTCCGAATCAGCGAATTCAATTGATTGTTGTTTTAATTTCGCAATCAATTTTTCATTTTCAGATTTTCTGATTTTCTGTTTCATCTCTTATTCATTTCCATTAACCTGTCCTTCGATTTTCCTCAATATAGTTTCAAGTAATTCAGAGATCATAATTCGAAAATATTAGATGTGTGATTTTCAGTGACAATCATCTGTTTCAATTGCCTATCAGAAAAATGTATTCAGACTGTCCCTATGGATATGTCGAAGGATTTGTGGTGAAACTTGGGGTTTAGGTCCCAAACAAATATATTGGATTTATGTGATAAATGTCACACCAGTGATCACTTATGGTGCAATTTCCTGGTGGCCAAAGACTTTACAGAATACAGCGAAGCTCTGTAAGCCAGAGAGACAGGCTTGTTTGGTTATCAGTGGTGCCATCAGTACCACACCGTCAGCGGCCATGGAGATCCTTTTAGATCTACCTCCTCTCCACATTCTTCTGGAGAGAGGTGCTAGATAGACTGCATATAGACTTGTTCATATTACCGATTGCACAAATAAATTAAATACAGAGTGCAACAGACGGTTGGTTGACACTGAAAGTCACAGTATTCTGGAATTGACCTCTGATTTTGCACCTTCAACTGTCAACTACGAACTGCCTTATGTAGAGTAGAGAGTACTTGAGAGTCCCTACCGGACTGTAAGGTAATGAGGCTGCTGACTTCCTTGCAAAGGAGGGAGCTGCAAGCAGCTTCATCGGACCAGAACCTGCCATTGGCATCGCTTTAGGCTTTGCTGAACAAAGATTGAACACCTGGATGGCAAGATGATTCATGGACTTCTAGCAGAATTTTCCAGGATAGGATCGCTCCAAAGCGTTTAATCACCCTTCGAAGCTTGATATCAAATAGTTGTTGGACTACAGTAGGGACAAATCACGATATCTAACAGGCCTTCTTACAGGTCACTTTTAAAAATGGAAAAAGACTACTAATTATGATTTCTCATGAAACAACAATAACTTTCATCTGTGATATGTTCATTTTGCGATCTTATATGTACATTATTTTTGTGCTTGAAATATATAGTGATACATATTGCATCGAAAATACATATTATATTAGGCCATCTGCAGTGTGTTGATAAAAATTCATAGTTTTCAATTTCCATAATAATAATAATTGAAAGATTATTGGACGAGTAATTATGTTGATATTGTATATCACTGTCATTCAAGGCTATATTGGAAACCAACATCTGAAGAATTTAAAAAAAAATTATTACTTCATATTCTCATTACTCATTCAATCCTTTTGATGTAATTTGATGATAGGGTTACATTTTTAATGCACCCAAATTTTCATTAAATATATGCTTGCCTCATTATCCAAGAGACAAAAATTTTCCGCATCTGTCAGATATGAAAGTCTGTAGCGGAGCTGGTTTAGCGTTAGCATGGTGATAGATAGGTCGTAGGTTCAAGGCGCAGCTGAGTATATTTTTCAGAAAATGTCAAAACACGTTACAGCATTCTGTAGTCAAACTGTTGTTCGCATAGCAACATTGTCAATACAGGAAGTAAGTAGCGGTGAAGAAAATTCGATGAATATGTATAGTAAGTATAATGAAATATTTTTTTTTTACATGCAAATTTTATAGGATGTTATTATAAAGCTGTTCACTATACTCAAAATTTCCATCATATCTTGTACGTGAATGTAAAATAACCTCATTATGAATCAGATTGTTTTACATTCAGGAGTGCCAAAAATTGATACTTATCGCCCCCAGAAGAAGGAATCATGGAGAAGTTATATTGATGCGGTCCGTCGAAACGAAAATCAGACGTTTCTTTGACGAAAACAAAATAAAATGTTCACCGGGAAGGTTAATTTGTATCCTTGTAATAAACACTAATGGAGTTTATTATCCGTGATTTATTGAACTATAATAATTGAAAGAGTTCTATTGTAAACCACTATGTAGAATTGAATAATTGATTTTTCTAAGTTGCATTTTTTGTCTGTTGATGAAATTGGTAATCACCTGGTTGGAAATTTATGAAAAAACTTGACAGTAAAACCCAGTACACATGTGTACCTTGTGTAGTTTACTTCATTAAATTAGACTGCAGAAGTTATTGTAGAGTGGAATAAGTGAAAAAGATTTATATACCAGCATGTGGAAATATAATGTTGTTGAATTAATAAGCCGCTGCTGCTTCTTTCCTTTCTTCAGCACCACTTGATCCACTCACGACACCACTCGCTACGTTTTCCAAATCGGTAAATATCTGTAACACTCACTAATAGTAGAGAAGCCCACGATGCAAAATGGGGATTTACTCGAGCGTCATAAAGACATATTAGGTTGCAAAGCTTAGATGATAAGAAGAAAAAAATTTTATATAAGAGTTTTTTAGAAATGCACGTTACA